AGGAACTTCATTATCTCTTACCGTTGTGCAATAAATAACTGTCACAGAACAGCAGTAACAGACGAGTCATTCACAGCTCTGATACATGCCATGACTTGTATCAGAGTTGTGAATTCCCAGCCTCTGCCCTTGCACAGTATGTAATAGCTGGAGCTGGAGCTTGTTCACAGCCTCCAGGTCTCACTTTTTCTCTTTTCTTCAGTGTACCCAAGAGGCAGGTAAGCCATTTGCTTCTGAAATGTCACAGCACTCTCCTCAGGTGCTGTTCAGGGCTTTCAGTAGCTCCTGTTTCTTGCCACAACCACTTCAAGTTCTCATCCCCATGGCAAAATCAAAACTGCACCACTGCAATTATCTTTCATCCTATGGTTATCTCGTCAAGTCAAAACCACCTCCTAAATGAACACATAAGCCTTCAGAGCTTAGCATCAGTCAGTTCCCCCCCAAAAAAATCCAGTGGCAAGATCCAAACGCAAAATGTATTTGGAGAAAAAAACATTCTCTGATCTCATGGACAATCAGGGCTGTCTGCATACTTTTCAGTTCACATCATCTCCCTTCCTCAGTAACACTCTGCTCTTCTTTCCCTCATGCTGAAATATAAAACCATAGCTTCCCACAGCTCCACAGCACATGCTTTCAGAGCACATGTCTTTGCCAAACTGAAGGACTTCTAGGGCTGTGCCTGCCTTTTCATCAGCTGGCAAGGGCCTAGTGCATTCATTTTTGGGGCACAGGGACTACAAGTTTTGTAAGATAATCTTGAGTATTCCGTTAGACCCAGTTCAAGTTTCATGATTCCATTTTCATGTTTTACTGGGGACATACCTAGATTTCCCTATGTGACATCCTTGACCTGAGAGAGAGCAATCATGTAGGAAAGGTAACGAGAATTGAAGTCATGGCTTTAACTGGAAAACATTAGAGATGAAAAGTGGTGGGTTAAACAACTCATTTGTAGCAAGTCAGTCAGAATAACAGCACTGACAATAGCAAAAGAAGAAAAGCTGAAACAGAGTACAGAAGAGTGTGCAACCTGCTAATTTAAGGGGAAAATATAAGGTAATTAAGATATTGATCCCCACAGCTAATTGCGCCATGAAATTAGAAAACATGTCTCTAATTCAAGTGAGATGATTTTCTGACTAAATACTCTGTTCCTTTTGCTTGTCATCCCCACAACCTGTAGTATCTCAAATGGAATAGGATTAAATCTGTTTAAAAAAGATTTGGGAATGTCCTCCCAGAAGGCACAGGCATGATTCCTGTGCATTCACTTTTACAGGGTCTGCCTATGGAGGCATATTCAGGAAAAATCATCCTAAAACAGTAAAGATGTGTATTTAAAGCAGTTTTATGTTTGTGCTGAAAATTGAAGTGTTCATCATTCAATTTAGGTTAAATTATTCTGGAATAAGATTAAATGCAGTTTAACTGTGATAAGTTTCATTCAGCATGTACACAAATCTGATCTCACACATCAAAGTATTACTGTCCTAACCCTTAATGTACAAATATCTAGTTTCTATAATCACTTTTCTTCTAGGACACAACATCACTCAGATTTTCTACTAATTGTTATCATGAGATGAGGTGTAGTGAGGAAGCCCTTTTTCCAGTGCTCTGTTCCTGTGGGTTGCAATGAGCAACTGACCACAAAGCCAGCTGAAAGACGATGAAGCAGGAGAGCATTTCAAATTTGAACTACATAATTTATTTAAATAACTAAGGAAAAATGATGCTCTTTTGCCCAACTCTATGGAAGGGGGCACAGAAAGAACATCCTTGGCTTTTTATAAGCTTAAGCTGTGCTCTCTGAATTCTCTGAAGGCTCCAAATGACTTGAGCAGGCCTTGCTCAATCTTTTCCTCCCAATTTTTCTATCCCCATTTGAAATAGGAGCAGCAGGGTGATCTTCCACTTGTGCAAACACTGGGCTCCAGCTCAGCTGCCCCTTGGACAGGCTATGCTCTTCCCCTTGCTGTACAATAGCTACTACAAGTTATCCCAGGCTATTGCTGGGGCTCTTAAATTCAGCCAATAAACCTGTCCTTACTGTAATACAAAGGAATTCAATAAAGGCATATCCAGGCTGCTCCCAAACTCTTTTAAGCTTATGGAGTCTGTTGACACAACTATATCATTACTATATAAATCCTTATATATTTATGACAAACAAATGAGTTTGCAATAAACAAATTCATACATGAACAATTTTACTTTTTTCACAAACACTCTGCACTATATGTCTCTCTTCAAAATTACACATCCAGAGTCGATTATGAGCCCTTTAATGTGTCCCTAGCAGGAAGGTTAAAATTCAGTTCTCTTTAATTGCAGTTTGCAAATATAATATACTTTCCAGCTGGCTTGGAAAAGCTCTTCAGTTAAATCATCTTGTGCAACACTGCAGCTTAGTCGCTGGTACCTCCCTACACAACAACAAACTGACAACCCCACACTTCCAGGGTATTTATTGGTCTGTTCCTTAAATGTGATAGTTATTTTACAACTTATTTATTTTCCATTGAAATGACTGCATAGAGAGTTTGGGGTTCAAGTTTTTTTTGAGTGGGGAGTGCAACTCTGCTTCTTTAATATAAAATGCCTTCTAAAGGCTTGGAATCAATGCTGCCATCCTTTCTGCCTATTCCTGGTAAATCAGTTGCTTGGTTCTTTTTGTTTTCAGGGTTTAAAATACTGTTACTTGCAGAAAGTAAAGTGATGTGCTAGCATAGCAGAGCTTGCTGTGTTATTGAACTGAGGCAAGGAGCCCAGAAAACTAGAGGAAAATGATCCATTGAAATCTATAATTCTTCCCTCTGACCTCACCCCAGCTCCAGAACATGAGATTATTATGCCTGTTAGAATAACTACTTATCTGCTCATAGCCAGGGCTGGGGTCTACTGGAATGTTAAAAAGGTCCACACCTAATTACTGTGCTGACTCAATTATTTTTGTCCAACTCACACTTCAAAGAAATCCATTATAGCTTATCCCCCAACCGAGGAGAGTAAATGGACTTACTGGAAGGATCAATATACTCCAAAAGGGTGAACGAGGAATAAAGAGGAGAATATGAATGCCTTTCTATAGGGTCCTGTAAAAGTTGGTATCCTTCAGGATGAGTTAATTGTTTCTACCACCAACGCTGCAGCTCCCAAATCCAGCCAGGCTTTCCTGCTTTCCTCCCAGTAAGATTATCACATGGCAATCCTGGTTGTTACACATCTGCACCATTTTGTCTGATCTTCACTGGATACTCCTTGGGCCAGGGACTGTGTCCGCTCTGCATTTTGAAAGTTGACGCACGCCTCATACATAAATTCTATATACAACAAACTTAAAATTCAAGGCACCTTTGTTAGTTCTTATTTTCTATGACTCAACAAATTTGTTACCTTGAGGTGCTAAACACAGCTGTGAGCAGAAGAGAGAAGAAAAAGGCCAGATTGTCTCCTACAGCAGTGTTTTCTCATTTCAAAGAGACCCACTGACACTGACACCAATATATTATGAGCTGGTTTTCCCTCTTGTCTGAGATGTATTTCTGTGCAAGTGCAAACCAGCACCCTTCCAACAACATCTGTCAGCCAGTCTGAGTATCTTTGGCATTTTCACAGGCGAAAAGCACTGAAAACGATAGGTATGGTACCACTGATGCTGAGGTGCATTGTAGAAAGCTGCATTGATATGGAAATTCCAGAAAAAGCCAAAGCCCAGCTAATAAAACACTTTCCAAAGGAAGAATGTGACGTGCTCTTTCTAGGTGCCTGTCCTTGACTGCCCTTTTTCTAAAGGATCCAATTAATATTCCTGCAATATTTATTAGGCACGCTCTTTCAGTGGCTGGGATTTCCCCGTGCTATCTGGAAGGATAATCAGCCCCTGGGAATTTCAAAGCCATTACTAAGAGGGTTAAAGCCTCCCTCCTCTTGCTGCTACCACTGTTTCCATGAGGTCTTAACACTCCCATCAGTGGCAGAGAAAATCTCCCCTACCCAAGAGCTCTAGGGTGGATGAGTGAATCAACACCTTACACAATGCTTAGTTTTAGGAAATCTGAATGATTGCTGTGCTATCTGTCTGGGGCACCTGTGTGAAAAAAGCATCACATTTTTACCTGCAGGACTGCAATGTATTGGTTTTCACATATTTACGACACACATTAGACACTATTAGCACTGGCAGGTCTCCGGAGGCCTGGGTGATAGGTAAGCACAGAACCAGAATGGGTCTTTCTTCCTGGGAATCCCTTGAAGGTCAGGTCTGGCTTCACAAATCTGCTCATCTGTACGCCTCACTCAGGCTGGTTATAAGGAAAGCAAGTGAACTCCCTCACATCTTCCCAAAGGGACAGACAAACATGTCACCATAGTCAAAAGATTAGGATCCCTAATGAGGAATTATTTACTGTGGCTCTTGCTCTTTCTGTGTCTTTATTACTAGTGCTTGCTATTTCTAACCGTGTAAACATACTGTAGGACCAGTCCCCCCACCATACAGTGACAGACACTACAGACAACAGACAAGGGCAACAGTCCATCCTTCAGGACTGGAACAGTGCTTGGAGCATTTTAAATCTGGGATGTTAATCCATGAAGTTTTAGGCTGCTGCTTATTGACTGTACCCTTGTGTAAGGAGGGCTCGTACAGTATGTTTTAGAGCTAGGAAACCCCTCCCCTTCATTTGCACTTGTGAAAATTAGAAGATTAAGTTCAATTGCAAGAGTTTGTCCCTCAACATTTAAAAGTGCATTGGCTTGAATTTGTAAACTCAAGTTCTCTCTGAAACATAAAAAATAGGTTTTGGCTGCAAATTTGACTGCAAGTTACAGAGTACAACAACTTGCACTATAAAAACTGTGAGGCAGGATAAAGGCATTGCCTTTAAAATGCCATGAAAGCACAGAGGCTTTCGGCAGAACACCTTATCTGCTCTCAAAAGCTCTGACTCTTCATCCTTTCATTATGAAGACCCAAGGGATTGCTTACTTAGCATACACCAGAGGCAATGGATAGGGTGAGCAGTCACTGCAGCCAGAAAACCTCAGTACAGAGCGCAGGCAATTACCCTCCACATGCAGAGACTTTGGAGCTGAACTGTGCTGAACAGAGAACCCTCCAGCTGAGAGAGCCATGTGTGCCCGGGAAGAGCAGCCACTTTCACTCCACTGAAAAGCAATGCAGTAAGTGACTTGGCTATTGCAGCAGGCGCCGGCTCCCTGGGTTAATCAGGAGCTGAAGCCTTGCAGCTTTTGCTGGGAGAGACACAACCTCTAGTCTGGGAGGAGCATCAGAGCATGGGTTATTTCTGTTGTTGTTGTTTCTAAATCAGGTGAAGGAATGGAGCTGATATGCAGTGACACTAACTGTCTCGTTTTGCATCGTGTGGCTGTGTGTATTGCAGGGGAGTGCTTGCTGTACGGTCCTGTGCTGAACTAGTGCTGTTAGGTTTGTAGCTTTTTTCTATGGTCATATTTGACAGTGCTTAAACAGAGGTGGTGCTTAATAACTTAATGTCAGTGTTCATTTGTGTGCTTGTTCTTAATTATACAACATGCTTCCCAAGCTTGGGTGCAAGCTATTTTCTGTACTATTACTCTAATGCTGGATTTACAGGGTCTGTGCCTTTGGATAGTGATAAACTGTACATTGCAACTATGTGAATGAGTGTCTTTATAATGAATAATCCATTCATGTGACTGGCAGATATGGCTCATTTCTAGTTTGAGGTAAATTCTTCCATGTGGTCTGAAACTGCAGATGCTTTTTTTGTGGATAAATGTTTATAAGCTGTATTTACCATAGCATAGCAGTGGTTTTCATCAGACTCAAATGTTCTCTTTCTGTACTCTGCAGTAGCAGCTTTCTATTTGTATTGGGCAGGAGAGGAAAAGCATGATTTAAAGTTTGGTTCATAAGAGGGATTTTTACGTAGTCTGAAAGTGTTTCAAAATTACAGTTTGGGCAATAATTGCAGGTGTTTGGAAGAAACTGTGCAGCATTTAAAGCAAATTTGACTATGCAGTTTTTGCTTTGTTAATTTAGGGACTAATATTAAGCTGCATTTCTCTGGTTTCTTGATACAGCTTGCTCAGTGACTTATGAGGCTCTGGCTTTAAAAACCAGCCTGTCTTAAGAATAACTGCCATTTTGGGCTTCAGGCGTGTTTAACTCTGTAAGGCAATGCATGATAAACGTGTAAGAGAGCAGTGCATGCAAGTGACAAAAGTTAGGGATTCTTTTCTTGCTGTTCAGTCAAATGTCAATATTAAATAGCCATTGATCTCTCATAAAGGAGCACTAATGGAAGCAGTCTTTAATTTTCCAACTCAATTTTTCTTTGAAAGTTGGGGTTTATTTAGTTACTGTAAACTACTGGGAAACATATAGGAAGTATTTACATAGTGAACAGAAGATTTCCTCTTTATCTGTCATTTCAGTTTCGAGCAAAATTTGTGGTGTCACTTTATTAGAAGGGATAATTCTCAGAAATAAGACAACTGAAGTTTAGTTTCTGCTGAAAGAGTTTTTGCAGAGGTGCTACTGAAGATGCAACATGCTAAAGATATAATGTTTAGTCCTAGCACAGCTAATGACACTGAGAAACACCCTGGAAATTATTGCATTTTTCCACTCATGGCAACATGGGTGTCTTAGAGACTTTTCTCCTTCAGGTTGATAGGTGCTGATAAGAGCTATTTCCTCTCACACTGCAGTCAAGAGAATTTTCTCTTTTTTGCCTTGTGACATATGGTGTTACTGAGTTGCAGTCATTAAGATAATGAGAAATTAATAAGTTTTAATTATTCTTCATTAGCCCTACAACTTTGAAAATAGACAAATCTATGAGGAGCGTGAATTGCACCTGACTCTGATCTGCTCCCCTCTTGTCCTCTATCCTGATTTCTCGCTTTCTGTTAATGTAGGTGTTCTAGTTGCTCTCATTTGAGGACCTGAGCCTAAGATCAGTGCGATTTTTCCAGTAAGAGGTGATGATCAGTGTGCATGTCATCTGTCCCCGTTAACTCCATCTAGACATCCAGCAAAGCCAATAATGAATTTGAAATATAGGAGGATTTATGATAAGATATCTCTGAATGAGCATTATAAACCTAGTATTGATTTATCTATCATGAGGAAATAGCAGGGATTTCACACAATGTACTCAGAACATGTAGTTTTGGTGACATTATCAACAGACTTTTCAGGTGAAGTAATTGGTGTCATTTAACAAGCTACTGTTTTGAAATTATTTTCTCTGAGGAACAAAACAGTGGGAGGAAAAGAAGCCAAATAATAGTTGATGTTGGAAAGATACCACATTCATAACAAGAATCCTAAGATGAAAAGAGAGATTAGAGCTGCATTTATGCCTTCTTGCAATTTTGAGTCTCTAATCAAAATGTGTTTCCTGAACTGGAACCTTGAAATTATTTGCCATGTATTATTGTTCATGTCAAGTTTAAAATTGAGAACATTAAGTATAAAATCCAATTTCTCAGCAGTCTAAAATAAGCATATTTGTAAACAAATGTTTTCACTCCTTTATCCTGCCTTTTAAGTAATCCTGGCAGGAGCCTTGCATCATAAGTCAAGTTCATTTTATTGCACTGCCATCTTAGGTACGCGCAAAAGGAAGTTTACCAGTTTTATCCTACATCACCAGTAATGAGTTGCAAGTCAATTTAATTAATAGTAGTTGCTCAACATAGCTAAACTACTTTAATTCCCATCACTAGATCTCTACCACTTTTTCACTTGTAGAAGGACTGACATTTCCTTACAATGTGAAGTATGACTGCACTATCTTGTCATTTAAGTCCCAGAGACAAAACTTCCAGCACAAAACTGTATGAAAGAACATAAGGCATATGGATAAACATGGTCCATGGTTTCAAAGCACAGTGAAAATATGTGTCATAGTTGCATCAGGAACCAGTTGTGCAGAAAATGTTGTGTTAAAAGATACAGCATTCAACATGTTCTCAAATAGAGAAGCTTAGCTGAATCCATATAAAAATATTTTTGTACCATGTTTTGTAAAGCTGCTGTGTTTATAAAGAAAAATACCTTAGAGCTAGTGACGTCCAAAACATGCCACATACGTAGCCAGTACTACCTTTATGAGTAGAAAAGAAAGGTTATTTTCTTCCTTTCCTGTTATTCAAGGGTAGACTTTCTGATGTTGTCATCTACTTAAATATGCTGCATAATAATTATTTTATTCATATGTATGAAAGCAGGTCTCTTAGAATCATCATTATGCTTATCTGCTGTGAGCATCAAGATTGAAATTAATTGGGATTTTCAGTTATATTAGACAATCAATTTTCAACAACAAAATGGATATGCTATTATTTGCTATTATCACTTATTACCAAGGGCAATTGCTTAATACTCTGTAATAGGTACAGTTCAGTGTACACACTTTGCCACAGTGACTCACTCCTAACAAAAGCCCCAGAACCTACTGTCTGTAGAGCAGCAGTGCAGTAATATTCAAGGAGGATTAAAGGACTAAGATTGAGTACTTCAAGGAGGATTAAAGGACTTTGACTGAGTACTACTGCCTGAGCTGTTGTTTTAAGCAGAGGCAAAAATAATGCACTTGCCTTTCCCACATGCTGTCCAAAAGGTAGAGCTACACACCAAAAACCATCCAGAATCAGAAAGATCATGCTCTACATTTTCCAAAGCACCTTCAAAGTGCACCTGTAAGGCAGGCTGACCTTCAGAAGATGCAGAAGAACTGATGCATGATTCCTCCACCTTCTGTATCTGTTCCCTAAAGCTTTTTTGGGATTTTTTCACCTTTTTTTGGGGTTTTGCAGATTAATTGAATATACTGAACTTTAAAATAAGGCTGTGAAAGTATGTATCGTAATAAACTTGATGATCAATGACAGACTGCAAATCAAATATCTGTTTTTCACTTAAACATCTGGAGGAGACTCCAAATGCTGTGTGCTCAGTTCTGAACCTTCATGAGTTAGTTCATGGAATCTTTCACGATCTTTTAATCTCTTTTGAACATAAATACAAGGAAACAGCATGTGAACTTAACAAGGGTTTGCTTGAACAGTGGCTGAAGAGACATTTTCCCAGCATCATTTTAGTATTTAAGTTTCAAATCTATTTCATCTAGCCCTGGTGACACTAAGCCTATGCAGGTCCTACCTACAGATACACTGAATGCATAGCAGCCAGCCAGAGAGATTCCTACACAGGAAGAACATCACATCCCCAGTGTCAGTCAGTACTTTGTTCAGAAGGAAAGATGAGGAAACAAGACAGAAGGTTGCTGAAAACACAGATGCTCACATTTCTTCTACTAGAAATAGAAAAAGGATTTATTCCTTTTTATCACAAATCACAGGTTTTCTCTTATTGCTTTGCTTATGCTTTAAATCAGTGCTGCTGGCTATAAAGAACCACATGCCTTAAGCAAACCTGTATTATCTGGTAGAAAAACCTCCACTTTCTCTCCCTGCCCCATCCAACTGATTTCATGATTACTCAAGAATTTGCTGCATCACACATTAATTTTGTTACAAACTGTTCCAGAGCATCTGATGCCACCCGTTCAATTTCTGTTTCCATTCATTTGAACATTCCATTGTTCAAATTCAAGCTTCTACTCACTCTGACAGCATCACCAATATATCTATAACTTCTTACCAAATAATACCAAATAACTCTGTCGCACAATAAGTTATAAAATTGTTCTGGATTTTCATTAGCTGAGTTTAAAATTCAGCCCTCAGTCTGAGCATAATTCAGCTATAATAATAGATATTTTTTTTCTACCTCACTTGGTGGCACTTACTGTTGTCACAAGTCATTTTGAGATCCTCATGCTTTCTTTAGGGGGGAAATCAGGGGAAGGAACACCTCATAACAATACATCAGAGTGGCTGAGCAGCACTTGCTCACTTTCAGCAGTGATTTTCAAAAAGCCTGGTGGGAGCCATAGGCCTGAAGCCTCATCAGAGACAATGAAAAGCAGTGGGACTGAAGAGAAGAGGAAGTGTTAGCCTGCAAAACAGAAGGAGCCAATATTTGTCATCAAGACCTTATCAGGAAAGCATCTCCTATTATTAGAAGTCCAAATAACGACAAATCATAACTACTCAAAGTCACGGAGCTTGGATAAACCAAAGCACAAAGAATGAACTCTAAAAATTGTATTCTTTTCGTCTTTCATTTTTGGGGATTCTTTAGGATTCGTGCTTCGAAAGTCTCATCTACAAGCATGTGAGATTATTTTATAAAAAGGAGTTTGAGACCTTGCATGGTAATCTCACCAGAGTTTCAAAAGCCTCACTGCATATACTGCATATGCAAGCTTAATAGTTAGATAACCTCTCTATTTAAAAGCACAAGTTTACAAAACACTGCTTTTCTTTTTGTTACAATTTGCCATGCCTGGAGTGTTTCCCAGGCAGAGAAACAGAAGGATTTTCTACTGTCTGCATCAGCAAACTACCAGAAAACCCTGTTTTCTGGATTGTATTCTCCTCCTGAGTTTACTAAATCATCGCTGCGGTTTTGCAGGTTACAAAAGGCAGCCAGGAAAGAAACACTTGGGTAAAGCTGATCCAAACCTTGCTCAATTGCAAAAGTGTTCAGACAGATCTCTTCCGTCTCTTTTCATGTGCTGTACTTGGTCAGCACTCTGAGAATGAGTAGCATCATGCTCTTTCCCACCATTACAGCGTTTACAGTTCTCATCTTCTTGTTCAGTACGGATATTTTCTGGAAAGAAGCAGATTCTCCTGTTCAGAACACACCTGCTGTCACTTCAGATAATTTTCCTTCTGCCAGATCTTAGTAATGAGTTCTTTTAAGAGTTGCCTGAAGAATGGGAACAGGTTGGTAATAGCAAGTAAAAAGAAAAAAACCGAATCCATAATTGCATCTGTAAAGGAGTTTTTCCCCAGCTGCCTTCTGCTTTGAGTCTTGTTCCCAAATCTGTGGAAGGCAGTGAATAGACTTCCACTGACTTTGGATCAGAACCTAAAAGGTTTTTGTGAAAGGTATATTGAGAATATTTTCGGAATCTACAGCCACTTGCATTTGTGAAAGTTACCCTGTTTATGACCAAAATAAAGAAAGAAGCACAAGAGATCATGACCTTGCAAACACACACCTTTGTGAGCAACCCTCTCCTGAACAAATAGCCAGCCTTTCATCTGAGGCTTTATTTGCCTAAGTCCTTGCACATACATTAAAGATTTATAACGGGACTGTTATAGACAATGAAGTTATGGGCCATCCTGTTGTTTTCTAATAGTGGCTTGATTTAAATTATGTGTGGAACAAAGGAAATAATATTTTAAAAGAGGAATGAAAGCACAATGCAAGCAGAAATGAAATTCGGTTACAGATGGAATTTAAGTAGATGGAATAAATTTTCTTATGAAGAAATACTGTGCCTAGGGAGCATGCGTTGTCTAGCACTCCATAGCCTGGGATTTGATTTAAAGTGCCCTTTATATATCCTTAAATCTCAAAATATAGCCCACTGGAGAAAAACAGCAAGGGGATGGGTTTTTGGTTTTGTTTTGGGGTTTTCTTAAGCATTTACTTCATATAATCCTCACTGCACCAAGATTTAGGTAAGGAATAAAAAGTGCATACAAGCAAAGCAGTATCTCTGAAAAAAACAAAACCAAACAATCCCAATGAAATCAATATTTGGGAAGGAAATGGAAGCAGCTTCTGTTCCAAGGGAAAGTTTCCTTAAACAGTATTTAGTACTAAAGTATATATTGTCCTTAATGGAAGAGAAAAAGCAATGTGTCACCTGAATGGGTCCCAGCTGGATACACCTGTCTCTCTTTATGAAAGCAGCTGAACATTTCAGCAAGGACCTAAGGGAAAGGGCACATTTATACACTGCTTCATTTCAAGCTTACTGGACAAGACTCATACAACAGTCACAGGAATAGCTGATATTAGTATTTGTTTCCAAAACCATCCTGTGATACCATGACAAAAGATACTCTTTAGCTGTTAGGAAGCGTGATCCATGCAGAATCCATTACTATTCATAAGAGCAATAGGCTGAGTAAAATACAAAGAGGGCATTTTATATGTAATGGCATACATGTACACACACAGAGGCAAACCTTAGGGTTCATCTTTGGAGTTTCCACCAGCTGTACATTAAAAGGGCTGCTAAGAAGGACTTGAGAACCACCAGAGCCCACAAGCACCACTACATTTTTGTAGCCTTTATCCACAGGATGAAATAAATACACTATACACTCAAAGCCTTTCTATTATTTTTTTGTAATACTCCTTTACAGATATACCATCTTCCTTCCTTAAGCTTGCAGGCCTGAAGAAATAGCACCTTATGAGTGCTGCTCCCTACCCCTGCCTATGGAGGAGGGAAGCACAGATTAAATACAGCAGAAGTTGAGCTAAAACATGCAATCTAAGTCAGCAGAACAGCTTTCCTTTGGTTCCCCACAGCTAGGATCTTGTTCTAAAAGTGATGTTTTCAGGTGGTATTTCATCAAGCAGTCACTTGTTCATAAGAAAACACCTGAACTGACTGCTAGGCTTCTTTTTCTTTTGGCTATTGCTAAAATATAAATGTACTGAGCACAGAACAAACTCTTCTATGGTGTTTCCCTAGGTTTTAAATGTCTGGACTTGATGGATGTGTAGTACTTGAAACTTATCAGCCTACCCATCACTTCCAAATATGATGAATCAGTCTCACCATTTATTTACAATAGAGATACCACTGCTATCATAGCAATCCAGTGCCACAGATTCAAAATTGAAGTGCATATGTAACACACTGCTCTCAAAACCATTTACACATGCTCCAGTGACTTCACTGGGCAGTTTGGTAACAGACCTCATTGAATTGTTCCCAGTTGAAATTCACAGAAGTTACAGTTTAAATGCAAAAGACGGGCTTTATAAGGGAACCACAGGAGAGGGGCAATCAACCTATGCTGAGCTTTTTTAGGAAGTCTATGATTTAGTCATTTATTCTTATTTGATTTTCCGAGATAGAATAAGAGCTCATAGGCAGTCTATTACTCTGTCTCAGCTGATAAGAGGTAACTTCTAAAGATACATTGCCTCAGTTGCTTCTTGTCTGGAAAACCCTACCATATGGGAAGTAATATTGTAATAAGGAGTTTTCTACCCTATCTGCAGTTATTGCCATGTTATGTTTTATGTGATGGTGATAACTGAAAACCATCAACATGAACTTTGCTAGAAATAGCTCTAAGACACTTTTGAAATACACAGTTTCAGGTGACTGAGGTAAAGAGAAACTTCTAATCTCCAGGAAACATGAGCCTTTCTAGAGCACTTCAGAGCCTTGGCCAACTGGAAGCAAATGCTATAGGAAACTGCTGTAGAGTCCATTTGGAAGCTGACTTTAGCACAGGGGTTGAAAGAAATTAACTTGGCATCTAAGAGGAGGTTTTGTGGAGTCAACGCTTTCTAAGCAGAGGACAGAGAGATTTGGCAGGGTTGGTGCATACATTATTGACATTATGTCACAGAAGGGTAGTCCCAGATCTAACTCTGACAGTGCTGAACTTGCAGCACTCTTGAAGCCCACCCTTCTCAGATGTATGACTTAAGTAACACTATGTGGCTTAGACCAAAGGTTCTGTGTGGGTAGGTGGGTCTTAGAGGGTCAACAAACACACACATGCAAAAAGCCTCCCACCATTTGTGCACTAACCTGTGATTTCTGCATTCCCTACTACCCACCCGCCAAAGATAAAACTTTTATGTGGATAGCTGTCAGAAAACTAGCATAGGAGTGTTGAGAAGGAAACAGTTATGCCTGCTTTAGGTTGTTTGAACTGAAACACTTCTTTAAAGGAATCATTTGCGATAGAAATCAATGACTGGTTGGCATAATTCTCAGAACATTGCCTTGGAACACTGAAGTACACAAAAGCTTTGCTGATGTTTTGCCCACAGTTCAGGAGAATTTTCCAGGTGATTTTCCATCTCACAGCAAAACCAATTTAATTTTCTTCTTTATATGTAGACATCTATTTATCTTAAGCAAGTATCTGCAAAACAGTGATGTCTACAGCAGTTTTTAAAATTAATAGCGGAGAAAGAAGTAACACTGGCACTTTTAGCCAAATTTTATCTGTTGAATTTTGTAAGAATGGGATACTCTGTATAAACAAAACCTTGCTTCCTTAATTGTGTAGGGATCAGAACTGTTGTCTTTAGCTTTCTTTTCTCCTGACAATTTGTTCCTGTAATCTCCTTATGCTCCTATATTAAAACCTTTGGATAAATTGAGACCTTGCTTAACTGACAAGTTAAGCTAGACATTAATGAACATAGCAGAAGGCAATGGAGCAAGTCACCCCACAAAGAAATTAAAGCAATCACCAGTGGGAATCTGTACTACCTCACCTACTACATTTTATTTCATTTTAAACAGAAATGTCTTGTGATGCCTTCTACCTTCCTCTATTTACAAGTTACATCTGCTTATACTGAGTTTGTGATATGTAGAACAGTTTACACCATGGTTAGGTCTGTTCTAAGGAGATCTGTGAAATTTAACAGTGGCAAGCATGTGAACTGCATGACTGGAGGACACAGAGTTAGTGCACACAGAGCGTAGTCAAATAGCAAGGCAGAGATTTGAGATAAGCCGAGAGACCTTGTTTTGAAACATGTAGGATTCCTCAAAATGGCTCAGCTGAAAGCATCTTTTCAAGTGCAAGGTGGATGGTATCAAAACACCTCATCTGAAAATCCACACTATAGGTAATTCCAGGTAACTCCTCCTCAGGAATGGGGAGACCATTTGCAACGCCAGTGGATTGCAGGTTAGAGCTGAACTGCAGGTAACAGCAGTGGCTGATTTGAAGCACTGACTGGGATATTCTGGGCACTCTCAGATGCTCAGGAAGGAGCAATTCCTGCCACAAGCTCACCTTTGGGGACAGGCAGACAGATAGCTGGTAGAGAAAGGTGTAAATACATTAAATCAGTTTCAGCTACAGGGAAAACAATTTCAGTCACTGATTTTTCATAACAAGTGGGGTGATGCAGTCCGTAGAGCCCAGAGGACTGTATGGATGGGGTATTTCCATTCCAGGGAAGCCAACTATGGAATCATTTCCCAGAGACCAACAGGCAACATGAGTGCCTGATCATCTCAACGAAGTATTGCAGGATTGTTCTCTCCTTATAAGTGATGTTCAGTAAAAATCATTCTCCCATTGCATTACTCATGACAGAACCTCAAGGAAATATTCACAACCCCAAATCACTATTTATCTTAGTCAGAGTTGTGATCCTAGAGAAAGAGAAGCCCTGGGAACCTCTCAAAGGACTTTGCCATTGCTGTTTCTCTAGGTAAAGGTCATGGGCAATAATAAATACAATTATGGCATTTCAGATGTGTTTTCCAAAAGAACCAGGCTTTGCCTCTAAACAAATAATCTTTTTGGGGAAAAAGTCTGTGTTCTTCAAAGAAAGGTTAGAAACATTTATTATTTTGCCTTTTTCTGTGAAAAAAAATCTCTTTTTTTAGTAGACGTCAATCACTAGAGCGGTTTTGTGTAAGTCTCTCAGTGTAGGGCCGGTGTAAGGTGAAAAATGAGCAATTTCAAGTGAAAGTTTCAACACAGTTGAAAAATTTTTGTTCCATTGATAGAGTCTCATTGTAGCACAGCAAAACCCTGGAGCTAAAGCAGTACCACCAAGATGCCCTGTTCTTCAGAGAGGAAGGGGCTGCAGCAAACTACAGCTGCAGTTTCTTTTCTACCTCATATTCCTCACTATCCTTCTCCCCTCTTCATTATACAATCCAGCAAAGGGTCTCACTCATTGAATGTCTGGAAAATTCAATAAGTTTGACCAGAAAAAAGAAAGCTTCTCCATCAGCTCTATTAAATTTACTGGGCTCCCTGAGAGGATCTCTGCACAGCAGCAGGGGATATGATTTCCACCAGGCACTAATTTTATTACACAACTGCCCAACAGCACTTTTCCGAAATACCTCAAAACTTTCAGATTTCAATAGAACTCAGCTGCACAGAGGAAGTCAGCAATTTCTGGAGCAGTTTAAACCATAAGACAGAGTGGTAACCATGAGGGGAAAATAAGAATAGCTCTTCCTTCAACACTTTTTTGAGCGATTAGGCTAATTTTCAACCTTTCATGCCCATGATCTATTATTTAATCTCCCATCTCATTTCAGAGCAACACTATCTTTCCATTCTAAACTTTTGTTTTTCCTCCATTATTGATGCATTCTCTCTAAATTAATGGATTTTGCAAAATGCTTCTGCAATAGAAAAAGCAGGAGCAGCTGCAAACAAGGCTTCAGATGGCTGTGCCAGTTCTCCCACATGCAGTGCCATATCGCTGCTGTTCATAAGCACATTCCTCACCTTGAAAGCTAAATCAAAGAGAATTTTAAAACAAGGAATAAAATTAGAAGACCAAACATGTAGGGGAGCGAGGAAAGCTGGATCTAAGGCAGTACTTACTAGGATAAGTAAAATCAGAATTAGGCTTTCCGAATCATGATCTTGATGTTCTTTCCCATATTTGTATTTTAATGAAATAATAATCAGTAAATACTCTGACCACAACCTTATGGCAGAGAGAAAAGGAGAGGGGGACAGTCAAGTTTCTACAATTTGGGGGCTTTTCCATATAACATGTGGGCTAACTGTTTCTTCTTTTTTCCACTTGATCTCTTTGTAAGATTATCTTAATGAGTTTCCTCCCTCTGTGATCTGAAGAACTGACAAAGAACAAATTCTATTTATAAAAAGATTTTATGGGCATTAAAAAAAAACAAAAAACAAAACCAGATCTATTCTTATAGTTTCTTCCTGCTTTA